TAAGTAATAAAAAATAATTTTTTTGTGATATTGTTGATTGGTTAAACCAATCTACAAAACAAAGAGTATGACTAATAAGAACAAGTTCTTTATTATTATTTATATTATTTTTATTATACTTAGCTAGAAGAAGCATAGTATGTTGTAAAAAATAATTAATTTTTTCTGGCCAATGAATTGCTTGTTCATTTTTATCTTTAAATAATGCTAAAAAATATACACCTAAATCAGAATGTGTAAGTTCAGATCCAAAATATCACTACATAATTTTAAAGCACTAGCTTTTATAATTCTTTTTGAAACTAAATATGAATTTGAAACATTAGATACTTGTCCTTCAGTATAAAATTTAAGATTATCATTTGAATATATTTCAGTATAATAATCAACTAATAATTTTAAATTTTTATTTGATAAATATGCTTCAGAAAAAGATTTAATTAATCTTCCAGGATAATCTTCAGATCCAGTAACAAAATAATTAATATTAGTAATAGAATATTGAAATTCTATTATTTTTGGAATTGTATAATTATATATTGTTAATGTTTCTTTTTCTAATTGTTTATTTTGTAAATAATCTAAAGAAGCTTGTGCAGTTGATGTTAATATTGATTTTATTTGATCTAAAAGTCTATAAATTTCAATTTGTTGATTTATATAATTAAGCATATCCAATTCAACAGTTCTTTCAAAAGTATAAAAACTTGCAATTTGTCTATTTAACCTTTCATAAGCATAGCACCAATAATTATACCAAGAACCATAATTTAACATATCATCTTTTAAATGTAAATGATAATGTATATTAGGTGTTATTATATTAGAACCGTATAGTTTTTGAAATTCTTTTAAAAATTTTATAAATTAACTATATTCATAGTTAATTTCTTTAGTTGTGATTATTCGTTGTAATATAATTAATACTGCATTTACAAAATATGACCATACTTTTTGATCTTGAATTGGTAAAATATTTCTTAAAGCCATTGTTGAATATATTAAATTCCATGTTTTCTACTGATCAGATGTAAATCCTAAAAAACTAGATGCTATTTTATGTGGAATTCTTCTAATGTTAGCAGGTGGTAGACTATTATTAACAATATTTTGAATATTAATAAGTTGATTTTTTGAAATTAAATTAGTTTCTATTGTCCAAATTTTCATCATTTTATAAGCTGTTCCAAGAAAAATATTATGCATTGGATCAAATACAGAAAATTTTATTAGATCAAAATATGATAATTAAAGAAAACTTGACTATCGAATACCATATTGATCAAACAACTGTTTATGCTTACTAGATACAGAATATTTCCATTTCTCAGCTATTATTTTATGTTCTTCAATAGTTCGTAAATTATAATTATCAATATTTGATTGATCTGAAGTTTCATTAGTTTTAAAAGGTTTTTTGTATTTAAAACATGCATGTTTAGAAGAATGGCTAGAAAATCCACAAATTTTATTTCTTGCTGGTATATCACATGAAACTAAAATTAAAGCTCCATAATACATTCTTCTAACTGAATATTTTATAGTTGCAAATGATTGATCAGCCTATAATTGTTTAAGCTCATCAACTAATGGATCCAAATATAAATTAATTTTTTCTGTTGGTGGTTCTTTTGGTCCAGGAATAAGATTAACAAAAATTGTATTTTTTTTTTTATATCTTAGATGACGTAGCAAATTTAAAATAGTTAAATAAACTCCAGCAATTGAATAAACTGTATGTTTAGTAACTTTAAACCAGTCAATATTAATTGCAAAGCCAATATTAGTTTTGTGCAATAATTTTTGAAAAAAAAGTTTGTTTTGATCATTTTTAAAAGTTTTCTACACTTGTCCATCATAGAGATCAGAAAAAATATTAGATAAAGTATTTTCTCTTTCATAACAAGATTCTAACAATTCTTCTAAACCAGGCTATTGCAATAAAGTAGCTAATTGACTTAAAATTGATTGATATGGATATATCTTAATTGGTTTGTAAATTATTTTTTCTTTGCTTGTTCTAATCAGTTTTTTTAATAATGTTTTATATTCACTACAACTTGATTGTGAATTATTTGATATACTTTCTAAATTAGTTAAAAAATGATATTTTTCATATACAATAAATTGTATAATTGTTTTTTAAATAACATAGCATCTTTAGCTTTATATAATGTCTCAGGAAAATTTGAATTATCATTAAATACTAAAGCTTTAATAAACATTAATAAAGCTGTAATTGCAGTATATAGTAAAGTAAAAGCTTGTTGAAAAGAAAAAATCTATAATAAAACCTATTGAATTGTTAAGTTAAAAGAATCTTTAAAT